TGATGATCGTTTCTGGGCAAAATTCTTTTAGGACTTTTTTGTCCTCTGATAACAGTTGAACCCGCAGTTTGTACCTTGCCCCACTGTCCAGTCTGGGGGCGTACCTACACAGAGGGCAAGATGGAAAATGAGCCCAGCGATGGCTGGATAAGCTGTAATAAAGAAAATAAAAACTCGGGGTTGGGGTGGGGGACGGACGGTCTTCTCACCAGTCGCTAATCACAATCTCTGGTTGCATGAAGTCAATGAAACTGTTTCTATAGCCCATTTGTCGGAGGTCAATAAGCTGTGATTTCAAACACTGCCTGTAAACAGCCAAAATGTAAATTATATACAAAGATACGCACATTAGTTGTGATTATTTTATTTCTTTAGGTTATGATCATGGAGACAAAGGCAACACTTAATTCTACTGTTTGTAAAAGCTGGAAAATACACATTGTATTCAAACATCACTACTGTGCTACGGTTCATTAAAACGCCATTATTTTACCTACTATGGAGAAAAAACAAAGAAACCCATCATTAATTTAACAATTTAAAAACGGGCAAAAAACACTAGGCCGAAAATATACATTTTGAAAAAGAAAAAAAAAAAAAAAAAAGATATAGATATATATAGATAGATACACACACACACACACACCCCAGTGAAAGACAAGAGGAAGTGTTTGGGGTATTTTGTAGCTTCTCAGAACATTTATTGGTCTTCACTGTATGCACTTTGGTTTTTGAATACATCTGTCTTTTGTATCACAAAAATACACTCTACGGGTTCTTAGTATATTTAATGGACGCAGCATCCATTATCCATTTGGGATGGTTTTACTGCAGAACAACTTCCCACTTTTTCCTAAATGTCAGTCTAAGCATTGTATTATTGCAAAGTTAATGCAGCTCTGAGAGTCTGTCTTAAATCACTGCAACTACAAGGCCCATTGCAGTCCCTCGTACAGTCCGCTCCAGTCTTCCGATGTCATTTTTTCCAAACAGTGCATGCAGTGAGGATCACAATAAATATTTTGTGTCGCTCCCCATCTCTCTGCGCTGACTGACACTTGCAAAGGAGGAGCTTGAAACTATGATTGACATTTCCAGGTAGAGCCAAATACAGCCACATTGATTTTTACATTTCATTTTATTTTTCAGACCTCACAGACACATATTTGTAAATAAACATATTGTTATTAAAAATCCTGGGAAGTGGGGGGCGGAGCTGAACAGGCAAGCTAACTAGAAGCACATTGCAAGAGCTCCTGCAGTGTAGGCCCAAATTCTGCAAATAACCAGAGATTAAACTTCTGAGATTTCCACACAAACCTGCCGGTGGAAGCAACTACAAACATCCCGGTACCAAACTTGAAGCCCAACTCGACCGAGAACCGCAGAGGTAAAATGAGGCCCAGTGGAAGAAGGGGGGGGGGGGAGGGGGGGAAGGACAGCCGCCTTCCCGCCAGATTCCAACTGCAACACATGAATGCAAACCACACCCCATGGACCGGTGGGGGATATCCTGGTCCCGGTCCCCGCCTGGCGGCCAACCCCAAACCCTGCACCAACAGACAAGCATAAAGACCTCCATAAGTGACAGGAGGACGGGGGCGCCCAAGCTGGCGGTTCAATCCGACACGGTGTCCGACAAGCGACAGCGACCTCTGGATGCAGGGGACACCGGAGATCACGCAAGAGATCCCATCACACTAATCTTTGACCGTTTCTGGGCCAAACTACAGGCACGCTCACAACCTGCAATGCCCGGTCAAGCGACACCCAGGAGGGAAAGAGCCGATGGCGGATGGAAGAATGGGAGCCCTCTCCAGGGCAACTAAGAATCCCGCATCGAACACCCACATCTCGGGCTGAGAGCAAGAAGGGGAGTACCCCGGAGGCACCGGCCACACCAGCGGAGAGAAGAAAAACAAATACCTCAGCGACATGATCTGACTCCCTGCACCAACCCGAAAGGGCCAACCCTGGACCAAGAAGGTTGCAGGCTCGTGGCCTACGATCGCCAGCTCTCCCACAGTCACGGGGCAGGAGAGGATCCCCGCAGCAGAGACGCTGCAGCCCTGCCCTATCGAGACAGAACCTCAACATGAGGCCCAAATCTGGACGACAGCTGACAACAGGCGGTTACAGGGCCTGCAGCGACGAGACTCTCACCCTAATACAAGCCCGAGGGACGAACTCCCTCCTCACCACTGTGGCCTTAAGTGACTACCTGGATGTCTTCATCTACACCAGACATGCAGGACTCTGCACGGCGAAGAAGCAAGGCCAGCAACTAACGGTTCCCAGGGTAGACGCGGACCTGCCAAGCCAGGGCATTGGCTGACAGTGCCACATGCTCCTGAGCGAGGTACCCGTGCCCCCCTCAGGACTTACTGATATACCCTAGTCGTTGATACCCAGGTGGTCAATAATGTCAATGTTAAGCTACAGTTAAAATTCTGACAACCGAAAGGGACTGGGGCCATACGAAACAGCGGTTTCCTTAGCAATCGGAGATAGCCTTAACACGTCTTGGCAAATAGGGATTCTCCTTATATGTTTTATACAAGCATCCAGTGTTATCTTTTATTTGTTTTATAATGGCAAACAGTACTTCCTTTTATATGAGTTATATAGGCAATAAGTGATACCTTGCAAATGTCCTATGGTGGCAGCCGGTTATACCCTTTACACGCTCTCTCTTAGCAATCAGAGATATCTTTATATTGGCAGCCAGTGACAAGCTAAGATATGGTACATTATTTTACTCAGCCACAACCTAACCTGTATGTCACTACTGCAACACATTTCAGCTTGTTATTATTGTAACCGGCAGATACAAGCAGCCTAGAGCCTAGACATGTTCTCAGTGTTCATCAGTATACCTACCACAAAGGCAGATTTACTCAGCGTTAAACATTGATTATATTGTTTTGTTTTATTTTACTCTAGCTAATCGTATTTTGACAACATAACTGTTTAGGCAAGCATGATATACAAAGTGAGAGCTGTCTTCCCTATTAAATCGTATTTCTAAGCCTCAGCAAACCTAACTTTGTTACATACACGTTCAGCCTAGCATAAACATATCTTCAATCTGCTCTGATACTCGAATGCAAAAAACCTGATTAAAGCATAAAATTGTGCATGTTAATCTTGTGCCCCGCATGTTACGCGTGGGAAAAGCTAGAGGACTGCCTTTGGGGCACCTCTCGCCTGTTTGTGTTAAATCTCTGCACTGCAAAAAAAATAAAAAAAAATAAATAAAAAAAATATCCTGGGAAGTGACAAAATCCTTGCCTCTCCAAAACTGAAATATCAGATGCCTGGCTCTTACCTATGAGAGGTAACAAAGTATTTCTTAATTTTATCTTCACCGAGCTTCATAACCTTGGGTTCCTTCAAAAACTCCACTTTCCATCCATTTCCTCCACTCTCATCTAGATTCCATAAGTCGAAACCTCCTGAAAAATTGATGGAAAATATGTCAGGGTAAAAATGTGTAGGTATGGTGAATATCAAATGCCATCTGCACATTATCTTTGCTTTAACCCTTTAAGGACCAAATGTTCCACTTTTTTCTGAAATGTCACAGCTAGATGGAGTACAGCTTTAATTAATTATGAGAAGCTCTATGCTCCCCGCTCTCATTGTTTAATGAGACATTGTGTTTTTGGAGTCGGATCTTGGAAAGACCCAATGGCTACAAAGACGTGGCTTCTAGACTTGTGCACGCTGAGATTTTTTTCAGAGAACCCGATTTCGTCCATATGTTGGTACTGAAACCGAATCAAAATAAGAAAAGAAAGCTCTTTTAAGAGCTTGTTCCTGCTTCGCTCTGAAGGAAGAGAGGTTTGGCCTGCAGTGGTTGTGGTGTTGGCTAGAGTGCTTGGAATCCTCAAGAAGCGCTAGGAGCATCTATCAACGGAGGTACCCAGTCGGGGTGCCAGATGATCGGTTACAAAAAGGTGCGGAAATGGGCCATTTGGTGTGCGGAAATGGGCTCCACGGTGTGCTACAAAAAATAATATTATGCATATATTTTGCAGTTCATTGATAGGTGCATTTTCCCACCATTTGGTTCACTGAGAAAAAAATAACTAAATAAAAAGGGAAGAGCAGTTAAATACAGTTAAAAAAATAAAATTATATATTGACTGGTCAATAAAGTTGACATTTAGGGACTAACCATCAATCATCCCAGCAATCTTTTTTTGGTGCCATGGACAGAATTCAAAATCACGACATGTTAAAGGGACTCTGTAGTCACCAGAACCACTATAGGCACCCAGACCACTTCAGCTTAATGAAGTGGTCTGGGTGCCAGGTCCCTCTATGATTAACCCTTTCTGCTGTAAACATAGCAGTTTCAGAGAAACTGCTATGTTTAGTTTAGGGTTAAGCCAGCCTCTAGTGGCTGTCTCATTGACAGCCACTAGAGGCGCTTCCGAGCTTCTCACTGTGATTTTCACAGTGAGAAGACGCCAGCGCCCATAGGAAACTGCCTGACTGCGCTCTTGCCGCGCATGCGCATTCAGCTGATGATATCAGAAGAGGGAGGAGACTCCCCAGCGCCGAGAAAGGTGAGTGTTTAACCCCTTCTTCACCCTAGAGCCCGGCCGGAGGGGGGCCCTGAGGGTGGGGGCACCCTCAGGGTACTATAGTGGTCCTTTAATGTCTATAGTCAGACCCTGCAGACTATGAGCTGTAAGCTGCTGCCCCCCTACACAACAGCCCAATAAATACATACTAAAGACCCTTATACACACACAGCAGTGCTAATGCAAACTCACTGTGGCCACACACACACATAAACATTAGATACACGTATAGTGACGGACTGCCTGGCACCCCGACTGGGTGCCTCTGCCAATCGCTGCTTCCTAGCAACACCGAGTACTCCTAAGCACTCCACCAGACACCATAACCACCGCAAACCCTGCAGTCAGCGTTACAGCTTGGTTGAGGTCTCGCTGTCCTCCACCCACCCTGGACCCAAGACAAGGATCCAGCTTCCAGTGGCTAGACCTCTCCCAATCCAGAGAGTAAAAGCAGGATAGCTCTTACAAGAGCAAGTGTTGTAATCCAAGGGAGTATAGTGATATCGCAATCCCCAGAGTGAATATCCAAGAGCCCGTGACGAGGTTCAGTTCGTCACACGTATACGCACACTACAACCCTCAGATGCACACACACCCTCTAGACCAGGGATTCTCAACCCAGTCCTCAAGGACCCCCTTGAGGACTGGATTTAGGGATTACCTGGGTGTGTCTAAGGTGTTTAGAAAAAGACTCAAAGGTGTTTTTTTTCCCTTTTTCTAAACACCTTAGACACACCCAGGTAATCCCTAAATCTGGACTGGCAGGAGGTCCTTGAGGACTGGGTTGTGAACCCCTGGTCTAGAGGCACTACACAACATAGACAATCACATACACCCTCTAGACTAACAAACACTCTATAGCCCCTATACAAACGCAAGCTACCCTGAAACACAAACTACTCTTCACACAAATTATAGCCCCTATACATAAAAAACACACATTACAGCTCCTGTAACATGGTACAGCCCCTAGATACACACACACACACACACACTAGTCCCGATACACATGCATGCACACTACACCCTCTAGATGTACTACAAATACACACATGCTTTCTCTCTCTCTCTACAACCGTTAGAGACACACACAATCTCGACAGACCCTAGACGCACACACTTTACATCCAGTGGAAACATATACGCACTACAGTCCCTAGCCACACATAGTACACCAGACTCCTTTACACACACACCACCACAAACAGTCACTGCTATGCACACGCAATCTCACAATCAGCCTGCAACCACATACAGTGCCACAGACAGCCTCCCCACACATGCACAACACCCTTTACTGGTCACACACCACTTTTGTCCTCTGTTATCCCTCTGGTGCTGTGTAAAATAAACACAGAGCATTGGTGCGAGTGCTCTTCATCAGGGCTCTGCACATGAAATGCCCTGGAGGTACGGCCAATATACTCCCTCTGAGGTGGCGTAAATGTCCTTATTGATGACATGAAACGTCCACTTTTTGTCCCCGCCCCCTGCAACTGGGCTGCTCTGCCTTTAAACTCCTAGGAGAAAGCATTGGATTAGTGGAGATTGTCAAATATGATGATCTCAGCCAAGGAGGCGGGGCCAGTCACTGCAAGACCAGCACAGCATGGGAGAAAAGGGAAGTAAAATACTTTTTTAAAGGGATACAAGAAGGGCCGCGACCTAAACGGTCTTTTTACATCTTTAGCGACAGGAGTACATGTTTGTACTCCTAACAATATAGTGTTCTTTTATGTATTGCTTGGTTCAGATGGATTGTGATTCGGGTAAATTGGGGGATTTAGCCGATCACCAGATCGCCCCATATTCAACTAGATTGTGGTTTGGCCCAAAATGACTCTCTAAGACCATGTGCTTCTCCCTTATACTGCGCTACGGTCTCTGGTGCCATGTCAGTGTGGCCAATTACATTCTTTAGGGTTTTTATAGCAAACATTCTTCAACACTCAATTTTCAGTCTGGAGACTAGGCTTAGGTCTGCTATATATTTGGATTCACGATTCAAAGTTTTGTCATGGAGATTAGCAAGCTTTATCGTTTTCTTTGCTTGCAGGTCTAGTGCTGATTGGAACAGGCGAGAATGACAACTCTCTTGCAGTTATCGTACTCACAAGTTAATGTTAAATTATAGATAAAACTAAATTATTCTATACATTGAGCTAGAAAATTTAATATATTTTAAGTAAAATGGTTTCAAAGTTTCTGCACTCTCCCAGCATAGGGCTCTATACCAATGGCAAAGGTCAATGTGACAACTGAGTGACAGGGGAGAACCTTCCTACAGCCATTCTCCTGCTCTCTGTAACAGGAACTACAGCACATGAGATGTAGCTGAGATGGTCACATCTCTAGCAAGTGTGTCTGTAGCTTGTGTTGGAAGTAGAACCTGACTTCATTCTGATACCAATACACTGGCAATTAATCCAAAGTATTGTATTAATGGGGAAGGACTGCCCTGCTTGTTGGAGAGAGGTAGGAGGACGGCGGGATCATCGTAGTGTAACACCAGAGGACCTCTGATAATGACGAGGCTGGATCTATAGACAGGCAGTACTGCCTTAAAAGCTCCCAAAGATATAGAATTCATAATTTAACCTGATGATTAATTATAGAGAGCATTTATCATTGACAAAGGGACAGGGCTCCCGAAACGTCTGTACTCTGAATACATTTGGGCTGCACTAGTGGGCCCCTATAACCAAGCTGCGCTTTGTGGAAGAATACTTTGGATTGCTATATTGTGCTTGCTGTTGGGGCTATAACAGCTCTTACACAATAGCTGCACTAGGTTACACTATATGGCCTTTTGGGATTGTGCGATAGCACACTCCTAGATCATATTTTTAATTATATAGGTGTTGCCTTAGTTGCTGCTATTTGTTGAAGTGAACCGGTCAGGACAGGCTCACAACACTTCTCGTTATGATCCTGGATACATTGAGATCCAGTCCACTAACAAATAAAAGAGTGCAGCGACAGCCAATCACACTCATACACTCTGCGCGTGTTAAACCGCGGAGCCCTGGGATGATTGATTGTTTATCAAGACCACCTACGTTTCTACCTCTAGGAGTTGACATCATTCTAAATTAATCTTACAATAAGTACTTTTTATCAGACTCTTAACTATTTGGTTTTTTATACAAGCGTTGCTGCTCTTATCATTGGAAAAATAAATAAACCTTATGGATTTTGGTGGGGAGAGTAGCAATGTATCTGGTATGAGGGCCTAATGGGACATGGAAAGCACTATTCATTATCATTACCTCTCCTCTCTATTATAGATCTACATCTTGTCAATAACGAAGCACAATCCACAGATCTTTTATTGTAATTCTCTGTATTGACGTCAAGTTACTATTTGTTTGTTAAGTAATGAATCAGAATATTTTCAAAGTACTTTAAAAAGGGACTTTCTAAGCACCGTAACCACTATGGTTTATTATAGTGCTTATGGTCCAAGGAATCCGAGTGTCAGGCTTCAATTTATACAGAAAAAGGGTTCTCACAGCAAAAAAAACCCCCAGAAAACCCCAGCTGGTTCTGAAATTACTTACAAAGCCGAGCGTCACAGCCTGCCACACAATGAGGCAATCTGAAACGTATTACCACAGACGCCTTATATGTAGAGAACCGGGCATAAGCATCACAAATCTTCAATAATCCACAAGTCATCTGCGGTTACCGACTCCGAAAGTCTTCACATTTGTAATTTTTATTGTGTTCGTTTCTTCCTATCACTAAAATGAACGAGAAAGGTCTACCTTTTGCATAGTATGTATTGTAAAGGCCAATGGTTGAACTTGTTATCAGCTAATATATTAATAGGACAATACTTAAAGATGAGGCAATCTGAGTTTTCAGAAGAAGGGGGCGGACTAGGAGTGGTAGGAGTCCCCTGATTTTAATCAAACCTATTCCAAAACAGCGAGAAAAAAACCAAGCGCATTGCTAGGTGTGAGAAGAAAACAAAACAGGTGTTCAGCACAATGGCACATATTTAGGGCTCTCACAGTTTTAGCGACTTCACCAAAAATTTAACTGAATTCAGAGTATTATTTAAACACACACACACACACACACATATCTCCATATCCATCACATCTGCTGTATTTAGTATGTGAAATGTGATTTAAAAAAAAAAAAAAGTTCTCTGCCTGTGAACTTACCCACAATGCATTTAATCTCACACATTGTCGATATGCGAGCTTGAAAAGGCAGTATGTGTCCTGAAACCCAATTTCTACCACCATAATGGCCAGTAAGGGCTAATTTTGGCACTGCAGATGTTTCAAAACAACATTTCCCATGATGCTTTGACTGAGTATCTCTCAGGATATATGTTGACCCTACTTGTAAAGTATAGGCAAAAATCAAGTCAGAAAGCATGCAGGTAAGAAAGAGACAGGCAGCATATTAAAATGGCCAGGCCTAACACCGTTCCTTTACCTAAATGAGACAAAAACCGCAAACGGGTAGATTTGTCAATATACAGGTCAAGCAATGTCAATGTACTAAGGAACTAAGCTTCGATTTAATGAGCTTTACGAATAATTCCATACTGTCAGAAAAGTTTCTAAGTCATTTATCTATAGAAGTCATTATTAAAGTCTACAGGAATTTGTAGATAAATTATTTGGAAATGTTGGTACAGCAACCCTACATAAAATAGGTAATGGTGCAAACAACCTGCAACATCCTTCCTTCTCCAGAAAACGAGCAGGGCCATGGATGACCCACTGGAAAGATCAGTCACAAAATGACAAAAGTCACACAACCAACAAGAAATTACATACGTCAGCAGAACTTAGAAATATAGACGCAGACTAACCAAAGGTTACCTGTAACGGGACAGCCTTCATGAACACAAAAATTTTACCCAGCATACACCGATACATATCTCCTATATTGCCAAGGACCTGCGCCTTCCCACTAGAGAACAGGGACAAGAGTCGTATGCTATAGAGCTTGGTACAGCTCATCTGCCCAGGTACAGGAAAAACTGTGCTACAAGTCATAGCTGTACAATCACGGTTGGTCAGGAGGCAGAACGCTACATCCCCTGACAGATCACAGAAGAGACTGTGGGCGACAGGACGGTAGCTGACTTATTAACTGTTGGAAAACCTCAGAGCTACGACCAGCCTAGGAACATAAAGGCACCTAAACACACCTACTGCATGAGTTTTACATTTGTTGTTTTCTTTTCTTCCTTTTTTGCTCTACTTACTGCTGAGGATCTGCGAGTCCCATGTGTACAACTGTCCTGTTACTTATTATTTCTAATAAAAAGAGATTTACAAAAGAAAATGACAAAAGTCACTGACTGACTAAATTGAAGTGGAGACAAAGACAGAAAAATGCAAAGAGAATCCCATAGATAGCATCACAGCATCATGGGAAATGTAGTCTACAAACATCTGCAGTGCTAAAGTCCTCCATCATTTATACTTTTGCTCTAATTTCCCCCATAAAAAAAAACTCTGTTACCACATTGTGAAATCAATCTAGCTCACTTCAGTGTCACAGCAAAAAATAAAAAATAAATTAAAACTTCAAAGCTCCTACTCTTAGCTCGCGGGTTACTTAGCAAGTTCTGTTTCATTGTCGGCATGCAGACAAACATTTTCCAGTTCAGAGGTCTTTGTACATGGTTCGGGAGGACATAACCCATGTGGTGACATTTCAGATTCCAGAAAGCAGAGGATTCGATAATTTCTTTCCATTTATTGCAGACATTTCTACATCGGAGAATCAGGGTCCTGGCCGGGACAGCAAGCAGAATGTGAATCAAATCGTCATCGTAGAGTTCTTCAATATTAACCATTATGGAGTGGGGAAATCAGACTGGGATCTATAATGAATAAAAAAGCCATTTACAACAGTATCACTATAGATTTATATAGGCAGCGTTTTATTTATGGTTTGTTCCCAGGAGAATCTTTTTCCACCAAAAGCCAAGGACATTCTACGATGATTGATTCCACAAGTACGCTCAGAAATAAATGGAATGTTTGGAAGGACTCCCTGCAAGGTATAAGTATACACAAACTGGTGAATAGTATAGTAATATAGTGTTTAATCAGTTTATATTAATTATAATAAAAACAGAATAGTCTACCAGCAGAAGATAGTGTTTACTGTGGGGTATGCCCCAACCAAACCCTAACTTTTCTAAACCTCAGCCTAATGCTGGCCTCAAACCACATGTTCTCTAAACTCTAGGTTGACCCACCACCACAATCCCTAAATCCTCTAAAACTTCAGCATGACCCCACTCTTCAAACCTCCAAACTTAAACCTGAATGCTTATAATTGCTTAAATAAACTCCAACTCACTTCACAATCACAGTGTTCACCTGTTAATTACTGATGTGATGCAGTCACAAAAGTGACTAGTTTAAAAAAAAAAAAAAAAAAACTAAATACAAATAATGACTATGCAACAAATTATATAGAAACACAAAAATATAGCAATACCGAATAAAATATTTTTCTAGCATACAAAACTAAACCCTGTGCCCAAAGTCCCACTACTCCTGGGCAGGAGCAATGACTATAGTACACATCATCCCCAGCATCACTCGACTGGCTATTAAAATCTAAGCTCACCTGCCATGTCAAGGCAAAGCCTCTTGGGTGTGTGCTACACTAACAATTCACTTTGTTTCTTACTTATTAACCCTTGACATTTAATGTCAAAGAAATTCGCCCTGAGTCAAACATCCACTACTCCTGGGCAGGAGCAATGACTATAGTACACACCAGCTCCAATACAAAACAATAAAAAACAAACACGGAAACTGCTTCTACACACTCAATGTGTTTCCTATTAAGGATTAATTGTAGCATTGAGTTGCAGCTGGTTCTACAAGGGCTGGGGCTCCTGGGTTAAGTAATCTCACTGAGCTGTGATCATTGCTGGATGCTTCCATTAGTCTGCTTAATAAGTAATGTCCCCTTTAAGAGCGTGAAGGCTGTGGCCTGGGGCGAGCATATGTAATAACCAGGCACACTTTATAAAGGCATGGATTCCTGCATTAATTCAAATAGCAGCAATAATCTCTCGGTTGTTAACAATGGCCTGCGGTGCATTCTGGGACATTGAAACATTGTAACAAAACATTGATAGTCAGGAATTCTCTGCATCCTGCTTGCTACATAAACAAACAGACACATAATAATAATAATAAACACAAACAGCTGCAGCTAATTAGCATATTCAGAGATGTTCCATGACCTCTGTCCATTTGCTGCCCATATTATTGACCTCATTCCTAGAGAATTCCTTGTTTACCTCAAATTCCTGGACCTGTCAAATGACGTCACGCCGAGAATTCTGCAGGGTCCAATACATTACAGGGGTGTCAATCACCTGGGCAGCTGAACTGTCACCTGCTGCAGCCTGGACTTCCCTAGGTTAAAAAACAAAGGCAGACAGCTGGTTTTTCCTGTTTTTGGACAGGGGTGTCAACCAGCAGCTGATGCAAGCTTTTACTATCATGGCAGCACAGTCCCTTTAAGACAGCCCCATCCCTGTATTCAAGGACAGCCCCTTCCCTGTATTCAAGGACAGCCCTTTACTCTATACTGTGGCTGTTCAGCCTTTCCTGTATACCAGGACAGCCCTTTGCTCTATACTGTGGCTGTGCAGCCTTCCCTGTATACCAGGACAGCCCTTTGCTCTATACTGTGGCTGTTCAGCCTTCCCTGTATACCAGGACAGCCCTTTACTCTATTCTGTGGCTGTTCAGCCTTTCCTGTATACCAGGACAGCCCTTTGCTCTATACTGTGGCTGTGCAGCCTTCCCTGTATACCAGGGCAGCCCTTTGCTCTATACTGTGGCTTTGCAGCCTTCCCTGTATACCAGGGCAGCCCTTTGCTCTATACTGTGGCTGTGCAGCCTTCCCTGTATACCAGGACAGCCCTTTGCTCTATACTGTGGCTGTTCAGCCTTCCCTGTATACCAGGGCAGCCCTTTGCTCTATACTGTGGCTGTTCAGCCTTCCCTGTATACCAGGGCAGCCCTTTACTCTACACTGTGGCTGTTCAGCCTTCCCTGTATACCAGGGCAGCCCTTTGCTCTACACTGTGGCTGTTCAGCCTTCCCTGTATACCAGGACAGCCCTTTGCTCTATACTGTGGCGGTGCAGCCTTCCCCCAGCCTTCCTCTTTCATTGAAAACAATCAGACCAGCCAATCCCAGGGAGCTGTGTTTTTTCCAGTGGGTGCAAGCTTTGGGCGATGCTGGACATTATTTGACTCTTTTTAAGGCTGTGGGGATAGAGCCTGTCAGTCCTCTGGCACCTATAGGGTGAATTCAGGCTCTGTCTTGTTTAACATGTTGTAATAGTAATCTATTTGCCAAACCCCTGGTCCTTAAAGGGTTAATAAGAATATTATGAGGTTTTTCCAGGTATATTTAGCCAAGAAAAAAAATACCATTATCATTGTAAGGTAAAAGTGTATTTTATTATTTGGAATTAGTTATTTTGCTTATTGTGCCATTTAATCCCTCCTGAAAGGAATGTCAAATAATAAAATACACTAAAATACCCCTTTTTATCATTGTCAATATCAGGGAAGATTTATCAAGGTAAAACCAGGTGCTATTCTGGGCATTGACTTGCACACTGTTTAGAGAGAGCCAATATATAGACAGTGCCCTCTATCACAAAACATTCTATCAGGTCAGTTAGCCATTTCATTAAATCAGAAAGTCATAACTATTATTATTATCAGATGATTAAATATGATGTTCATTTTATATGGCTGAGCATCTTGGGGAGAAAGGCAGAGCTAATTTGACAAACTAGCTCTGGACTAAAGACCTGATGGTGCTCGCTCATGCCGAGCCAACTTGCTGAGTGTAATGGGAATTGCAGTCCCCAGATTGTGAAACTCTAGAGTTCGCACATCCTCTCATTATCTGTACTGGCTCCCTGGTACATACAGGAGGACAGACTGGGGACAGGGGCTTATCAGCAAACACAAGCGATTCAGAAATAGCTTATATCTTCTCAAATATGAAACTTCCTAACATTACACTGACATCCAGTATCGCTTCTTCTGATAATCTATTTACTCTTTTACAGCTAATATGCTCTATGGCCTTGAATCCACAGCAGGTTTGCCATATCAGCATTTTTTATGGGAGACTTCTGACTTTTGTATTTTCATTACTTCCAAGTGTTTAGGCCGAACAGCTCTTGACTTGGGCCACACACCCTTTCAAAATATAAATGCTTCCTTTTGAGACTTTGTTATAAATATACGTGATGCATTAACAAATATTGGTGATCCCTCCATAATTTCTCTTTAATTAATAATGACTGAGATATCAAAGGAACCATAGTGATTAGGAAGTTGATTTCAAAACGGAAGCATTTAATTCTACATACTGCAATATTGTCTTTGTGTAAAAGGTGAACTTTAGCATCGATATAGCATGCGGCGCAGTGAGCTGCGGGTTAATTTAGCATTATATTAATAAAGTACGGCTTTTATGTGAATAAAGGAAGACTCCACAGAACCCAGGCCACTTCGCTAAATCAGACTGAGATGAACTGAAATCAATATCCCTGCTCTGCTGTATCAGGTCACTGAAAATGTATCCTAACTTTTAAAATTTATCTTAAAACTTCTAACTGCTCTCTTGTTCTCTCAGATCGCAAAAAACATATTCAGCTTCCTTTGGTACTGTGAATATCAACACACACATATATAAAGGGATGCAACTGGTTAACCTAACAAGATAATGAACAATACATAGTGTAATATAGTCATAAGCATGTATAAAGACACACTACTACTGGCTGTACTCACAAAGTGTAGATTATCAGATCGCCTTAAGGATGCCACCCCTGATGGATAGAGGGGTTTAAGAAGTTCCACTTCACTTCTTGGATAATCAGGAACCAGAAGGAAACAGGAATCCGGTAGTATAAACAATTTAGTTGTAAAATAAATTAAAATAAATACGATTCTACGCGTTTTGTTATAAATATAGAACTTCCTCCGGGACAGTCAGTGCTCCCTGTATAGTGCTGCTCTCTGTATAATACAGGTCTGTGCCTGTATAATATCGTGGGACAGTCAGTGCTCCCTGTATAGTGCTGTTCTCTGTATAATACAGGTCTGTGTGTATAATATCCTGGGACAGTCAGTGCTCCCTGTATAGTGCTGCTATCTGTATAGTACAGGTCTGTGTGTATAATATCCCGGGACAGTCAGTGCTCCCTGTATAGTGCTGTTCTCTGTATAATACAGGTCTGTGTCTGTACAATATCATGGGACAGTCAGTGCTCCCTGTATAGTGCTGCTATCTGTTTAATACAGGTCTGTGTGTATAATATCCTGGGATAGTCAGTGCTCCCTGTATAGTGCTGCTCTCTGTATAATACAGGTTTGTGTATAATATCCTGGGACAGTCAGTGCTCCCTGTATAGCGCTGCTCTCTGTATAATACAGGTCTGTGTGTATAATATCCTGGGACAGTCAGTGCTCCCTGTATAGTGCTGCTCTCTGTATAATACAGGTCTGTGTGTATAATATCCTGGGATAGTCAGTGCTCCCTGTATAGTGCTGCTCTCTGTATAATACAGGTCTGTGTGTATAATATCCTGGGACAGTCAGTGCTCCCTGTATAGTGCTGCTCTCTGTATAATACAGGTCTGTGTATAATAAGATGGGACAGTCAGTGCTCCCTGTATAGTGCTGCTCTCTGTATAATACAGGGCTGTGTGTGTAAATCCTGGGACAGTCAGTGCTCCTTGTATAGTGCTCTCTGTATAATACAGGTCTGTGTATTCCATTCTCCTTCTATATCTTTAATTTTCTATTTTCAGCTTTTTAAAAAAATATATTCACTCCCCAATATAATTATTTTGTGAACTAAGGTATGTTTTATGGTGTAGACACAGCTCTCTGACTGAAGCACTTCTGTACAAGGTCTTTCTATATTTGTACTGAGTCACCACTAATACCCAACTCACATTAAAGTGATACAATGTACCTGCCTGATATAGATGCTGTGCTGTGAATGTATCTATCGCACACCAAGGATGCATGGTACTGTTGGTGGGAACTTGGTGTTATAAAGGTCTACTCTACTCAATAAAGAGAGAATTGCAGGGAATTGTGATGAGAATTTCAAACTTTAGGGCGAAATCGTGCAGCAGAATGGGAGAATTTTTCCAACTCGGCTACTTTGGCCTTAAGTTTAAAATTCCCATCTCAGTTCCCTGTAATTCTCTCTTTACTGAGTAGACCCTGTAATCTGCACTATAAGTAGGCGGAGATTAATAATGTGGGTTGGACACAGTGGGCGGAGCTTTGCAGCAGTGGGTGTGGTACATTTTCAAGGTACGGTAGTAACTGATAGCTGTGCTGCAAAGTGTCCCTCGAGATTATTTTCAAATGTTGGCCACTATGGTTTCTGTGTGCTTTATGTTTCCACATTACGACAATAATAATTTATGCTTCATAATTCCGTACACTGTGCTATATGGGCCAGTTGTGCACACTGGTTTAAGTATATGTCATGTTATTTGTGTTTGGTTTGGTTGCGAAGCGGTTAATATACCTCTGGCTGCTAGTTCAGAGGTGACAGCTATTTACAGTCACCCAGTGTCCTGTTACCAAGTGTTAATCTGCTGATCTATAGTAAGCTTAGTCCTGCTGATGTAAACACACGTTAAATGGAAGTGTCAGCTAGTCCTGCCCAGTTACTGTGTTCTACTCGGAATATCTTGAATACAAAGTGATTTATTCACTAAAATACAAATCTCCCGTAGCCGTAACGCAATTAGAGAATATTTCCAGATCGGCTTTCTTTCTGTCAGTTTTGACGTTTGGACTTCAGTTTGCTACAATTCAGATTTTAGTGAATAAAACCCAAACATTTATTGAATAATTAATGCATTTTTTATTTTTAATATAAGGCATGTAACAAAAGAAATGTTAGTTAAAATATTGCCAATCCCAATGTTTAGAAATCAGTCTGTGTAAGTAAGATACTTTGTTCATGTTCTAAATTGCATCTTAGTTTATAAATTGTTATTAATAAGTCACGTACAGCTCCACCCCTGGCCGCACCTCCACTCACACCCAGAAAAGCCCCGCCGCTGACCACACCCCACTCACACCCAGAACAACCCCACCCCTGGCCGCACCTCCACTCACACCCACAACAGCTCCGCCCCTGGCTTCACCTCCACTCACACCCACAACAGCTCTGCCCCAGCCGCATCTCCACTCACATCCAGAACATCCCCGCCCCATGACCACACCTCCACTCACACCCAGAACAGCTCTGCGCCTGACCGCACATTCACTCACACCCAGAACAGTTCCGCCTCATGACCACACCTCCACTCACACCCAGAACAACCCCACCCTGACCGCACCTCCACTCACACCCAGAACAGCTCCGCACCTGACCGCACCTTCACTCTCACCCAGAACAGTTCCGCCCCTGACCGCATCTCCACTCACACCCAGA